AGAGGGAGAAGATTACACAAAGCACCCGCAGCAAGGAGCTGCCTCCTTCTCATTGACTTTCCAGGAGCAGGAAGGTGCCTAACAGGTGTCGCTAGAAAACTGCAGCCAGACAGGGACTTGTAACCAAACTCCCAAAGCCTGGAGCACCATGTCCTGGGGAAGGGGAGGATAAGAACTCCCATGCCAGCTGAGCGAGGGGGAAAGGCAGCCCCACTTCCCGCCCACACACACACACCACTAGCATAATAGTCCAAGAGGGGCAGATGCTCGGGGGGGGGGAGGATTTTTAAAGAGCAAAAGAAAAGGAACATGTCGTTAGCCAAGGCCAGGATCCCGCAAGCGCGCTGGGTCCACTCGCCGCCTGGGCCTCGTCTTTCCGCTGTCAGGGAAGGAGCCCGGCCGTTCTGTGCGCGCTGTGCCTGAGGCCCTGGTAGCGTGACCAAGCACAGAACCCGCCTGGGCAAGCGTAGCCCTGCCGAGCCCTTAGCAGGCCCGGGCCTCAAGCGGCACGTGCGGTGAATTCTGGAGATCGGGGCCAGCCCCCCCCTTCGCCCCCGCAGGCTGTGGGTCGGAGGAAGGTGAGCGCCCTAGAGGGACTCGCTGTGTGTGATTGAAGAGCCTGCCAGGGCCTGACTTTCCCAGTGGAAAGCGAAAGGGCAGGCGCAGGTCTCCTGGAGCCGCGGCCAAGGACCTGTCCCTGCTGGGGAGGAACAATGCACAAGGAGGCAAACTCCCTCGCGCCGGCGGCTGGGGATTGTTCCTTCCCCTGAGCACGTGCATCCTGTCACCCCTGAGCCGCTTCCCGAGTATTTAGCCAAGAGGGGGATGGGCAGGGGACAGGAATAAAGCTGCTGTGGTGGGGGTAGCTGCTAGCCCTGGGGCGTATCAGACAGCCCTGGTCTCCCCCAGCCCCACCGCCCTGGCCCCTCTACGCCAGTCCCCAGCATCCCAGGAGCTCCGCCCCTTCCACGTCAGCCCTAGGAGGCTGTGTGGTGGCGGGAGCACCGCAAGAGGCTGGCCGGATCCTGTCTGGAGGGTTCCTACCCCAGAGCGCTGCCGTGAGCGCCTCCGGTCAGACAGCGGCTGGAGACAGCCAGCGGGAGCAGCCCGAGGGGGCTGAGTGACCTGAGCTGCAGTCGCAGCACAGCCGCTGCCAGACCCGTGGTGGTGTGCTCTGTTCCCCAGCCAGCATCATTCTGGGCGCTCCATGCTCCCCCTTCTTCCCAGGGCCCTGCTCCCCCGGCTCAGTGCCATTCCGGCAGCTCCCAGGCATCCACCCCTGCTCTCCTCCGGGGTCCACTCCCCATCTGTGCCAGGCACCTTTCTGGTAGGGCCTGTGCACCCCTTTTCACCTGGCGCCACGCCCCAGAATCTACCCACCTGGGTTCCACACTGCGCACAGGTTCATGGAGGCGCCTGCTGAGGAGTCCAAGGGCAGGGACTGATGGCGCTGTGAGTTATGGTATGGGATACAGGGCAGGCCCCCTCCTCCCCCAATCAGGAATGGTGGGG